TGCCCAGATTGCACTGGTCAATAGTTTAATTAAACCAGATTATAAAAACAGCTTATTAAACCTATACAGTTTTGGGTTATCCCACTTGGCACTAGGGGTGCTCCATAAGCCTATTAAAAAGATGCACATTTCTCTCCCTAGCCACTTTTACAAAAAAAAAAAAAAAAAAAAAAAAAACGGCCTTGTGCCACATCCTGCCTTGCAGGGCGGTAAGGTAAATCACCTTCTACAGCTTTTCAACTCTGGGCTTAAGATGAAGTTTTCACGTGGGTAAAGTGTTCCCCCACTGGGGAATGTTCATTTCATGGTTCTTTTTCTCTCTTTCTTTCTCTCTCTCTCTCTCACACACACACATAAGCAAACAAACATTTTTATAGCTAGTTTCATGTTTTTTTTTTTTTCTCTTTTGTCACATGTAATTCCTTTTGTAAATACATGTATTGCTGTTTGTTTTATATGTTTTGTTGTAACAATTTTTACTTGGACCCACTCAGTCTGACATTATTGTTTGTGGGATAAGTTTCCCAAGAGCCCATAAATAGTTGCTAAATATTTAAACACAAAAGCATCCCACAACACAATAAAAGTTCACTAAAGCAAAAAATGAAATTTTAACATTTTAAGTTTAAAACTTAAAAATTAAAACTTTAGATTTTCATTCTTTAAGCTATCAACCATGTTAAGTATGAGGTTTTTATTTATCTATAAAGACAGTTTCTATTATAGTTTTACTAACATATTTTCAGTTTACTCACAATTTTAATTTCCGTCTACATTTTAAATATTCTATCATAAATTATAAAGCATAATCAAAACGCTATCAGTCAACTAGATTATATGTTCCTGTACCAACAAACTAATCACTTTGCATCTCTTTAATACAAATTTTTACCGCCGTAAAAATCTATAAAAATAAAATGGTAAAAAAAAAATAAATAAATATAATAAAATGGTTAAAAAAAAAAAAAAAAAAAAAAAAAAAAAAAATCAAATTGTACAAAGTAAAGAGCTGTTTATATAATAGGTTTGAATTAAACATTTCCCATGTCCTCCAAAAATTATCAGCTTCAGTATTAATGGGAAGAGCCAACAGAAACTCGTTGTGCCGTTCATAATCTTGAGGCATGCAAGATATTAGTAACAAAGCTATCTTGATAAATTTCTTGTCAGAATCGGAATAGCATTGACAGTGTAGCGGGCACAAGGCGAAGTATACAAGGGTCGACAACTCCAGTCGACCAAAAGTCAACCTGCAGTTGCTTCCCCTGGAATAGCCCGGAACACCAGTTGATCGACGGCTTCGGTATAGAGGCTGGCTGACACTGCTACCATCATAATCCACGCTTGTTGTTCTTTCTCTAAGACGGCAGGAAGCTGAAAAATGACAATACAAACTAACATCTACAGCATTAATAAGCAGTGAGGTATAAGTATTAACGTCACTTCAAATTTTTAAAAATAGAAGTGATAGTCATGATTCGTGAGGCTTATCAGGAAAAAAAATTAATGAAGTGCACACTTGTAGATTTGGCGCTTTTTTTATTTATTTATTTATTTTTTTTTTAAATTGTAGTGCCTTACTCGTTCAATAAATAACTCAAAAAAAATTTACATACGTAAAAATCGGATTTCTCTGTATAGTGAGGATTTAGATTCAGTTGCTGAATTTTATGAACAAGTCTTGCATAATATAACAATAGTAACACTCTAATGTTGTTCAAGTTTATTATTTTATAATTGAATTCCAAACACAAATGATTACTTCTTGTTTTTGAATTATTGGCGATTTGGTCAATTAACAAGACTTGTGAAAGTAATTCAGTTCCTTTGTCATTCAATAATAACTGGTTCTAAATTAAAATACAGGGATAAAACAAAGCCACCTACCAAAAGTCAGTTAAAATTAAACTCTAAGCATAATTATCTGAAGAAATCTAATTAAAAAAAAAATAATTTAAAAACATCACATTTTGCCAGATAAAGTAGCAAACTATTCCATTCAATTTTGGCATACTGATTACAGTAAATACTCAAAATACTATTTAAATTTGTTTCATATTTCCTTTTGATACAATCTTGCCCCAAAAGCAACAAATAGTCAGTTACTAATCCCAACCTTTAACATAAAATCACAATAAATTAACAAAAAAAAGGATATGAACACATTTACCCCAGAGTCTGTCTATATTTCTGAGATGAGGTATTATGTACATTATTCGGACTATTGTCCTCATCTTTGTCACCATATTTATCACAACGTTTCGGCCGTTGTACACTCCAGCCTTCTTCAGGTGGTTGGAATGTCGAACTGAACCCTTTATTTCGCTCACCGGGGTAGACTGTTCTAGTTCTACGTGCCATGTTTGATGGATGTCAGTTATCTCCTGTTAATTTCCCTCTGAACACCTTTATCCACTGTGCCATGTGTCCTTGAGGACACATGGCACAGTGGATAAAGGCGTTGGTTAGATCCAGTGACAGGACCCAAAGAGTGTGAGTTCAATACCCGGTTAAGGCAGTGAAGAACTTTCAGAGGGAAATTAGCAGGAGATAACTGATAACTGACATCCATCAAACATGGCACATGGAACTAGAACAGTCTACCCCGGTGAGCGAAATAAAGGGTTCAGTTCGACATTCCAACCACCTGAAGAAGGCCAGAGTGTACAACGGCCGAAACATGATAAATATGGCTACAAAGATGAGGACAATAATCTGAATAATGTAAATAATGTACATTTACCCCAGATATAAAAAATGAAAGTCTCAATACTATCAATTAAACATTATTCATGTGAATAATGACATCATAAAAGGCATAATCCAGTGACCAAACAATATCTTTTATTTTTTTTTATAATTAATAAAATAAATAATTAGAAAAAAATGAACAAAGCTTTAGGCAGCTTTGTGCCTGGATATACAAAAATACTGTACATAACATTGCCATAATTGGGTTGCAAAATCTTTCTAAAATACTAACGATGATGATGGGGGATTGTTTATATATGCATTAGTAATTTTGAAACTCTCATGGTCACTCCTTGTTGTAGCGGAAGGGCTTCTTTGGTTCAATGACCGAGAATGATGCATGACCAACCAAATATGAGAGTTGTGTATCATCCAATTCCATAATTCCTCACATGAATACTACATATACAAAATGTGGCCTGCAACTGACATGGTCATTATAATAACAGAAAATTACCTTAGTACAAGTGAAAAACTTTCCTCTACCAAAATATTTTTAGCTTCTATACTGTTCTATATTGAATTTACCAAGTTATCCACTAATACGTGACTGGCTGAAACTTTCTTTCATGGTGGAAACCCTATCCAGATTATAAAAAATTGAAACATTTAAGATGCAAACAAAATAATAATCCATTTGGTATCATAATGTAAAAACCTTGCTCTGAGACTGAATGAGAAGTAGCAACATGACAAAATTACCCTAGTTATTCATTGGTAACTATTTCTTATTACTATAAATATAACATTTATAGTAATATGTTCAGAAGAAATAATGTCAGATAGTAAAAAAATCTGCTTACACACACATACATATATATATATATATATATATATATATATATATATATATATAGGCAACTCTATAAAATTCCTGAACACTGAAAAAGTGAGCAAAAAGGCAATGAAAAATAAAAATGCCAAATTCCTTTGTGACATGAAGATGCAAACAGTTAAGATAGTGGAATACTCTAAATCAGACACTAGTTTTTGAGAAGAGATCTTGCAAGATTATAGACATGGTTTGATACAAGAATTGTTAAAAAAGAAAGTGGACAAATATCAGGAATTGAAATAGTGACATGGCTGTATTCCCCAGTTATAGGTGTTTCAAGTACTATCTCTTAAAACTTCCATATTTGGTTTCATATAACCATCCCAAAGACCTACTTTAAAACTCTACAAAAAGTCTCTCTAATAAGAATAGTGAGGACCTTGGGGTTGTGGATAGCATCTTTATGTTTAGCTGAACAGAACCAGCTATTTTGTATTTTTAAACTAGAGATGAAGATGTGGTGAGGTGATAATGATAATAGTAGTAGTAGCAGCAGCAGCAGTAGTTGTTGTTGCTATTATTATGATTATAGGACCAGAAATGATCAGTGTACTCCGTAAAAATTTTTACTATTTTTTTTTTTGCCTGGAAATTACTAACATATAATTATACACGTATGGGTTAAATTTACTTTCATTGTAAAATGAAAACAAAATATTGTTTAGGAATAGCAAAATATTTCAACCTGATTCCAGCATTTGACAAATGACTTTCTATTTTTTTTTTTTTTTAAAAAAAGGTTAGTTGTTTCTAATGAAGATAAATGTGTAAAAAGATCCATCATTTCCTTTACCCAATTAAAAAATTCCTTATGCATTTTTTTTTTTTGGTTTGATTGCCAGCTCTGCAGCAGAAACATCTTCAAACTATAATTTAATGACAAACCGATATATTCATGTGAAAAACACGTTAATTTCAGCTTCTAATGCTTGTTTTTATTAGAACTAGTTACAATAACTTATTTGTTAATGTGAAATTTTATTATGCAACTATCATTGTTCATCATATATATATATATATATATATGTATATATACACACACACACACACACCATGTAAATATATATGATAGTAGAAGACAAATAATTTGAAAAAAGAAGACAACTGAAACTAAAAGTAAGTAACAAAAAAAAAGTTTCTGGTATATGTGTAACATGATGTAAATTTTGAAATTATAGAAAAATTAATTTTACTTTCATACATGCTTAATATGAACTTCATAGTCTATTCAATTATTAAGAACACATCAATAAGTAAGGTTGTAAAAATAACATTATTTAATGATGATGATTATTTGGAAAAGAAACAAATAGTTTAATATAAAATAATACTATCAGGTAAGCACTTGACATTTGAAAGATCAAACAACAGGAAAGTTATGAATGTGATATTATAAATAAAATCTAAAACTTACCTCCCCCAAGTCTTGAAGCATGTTGATTCTTTCTCTTTCCTCCTCTATGAAAAGCTTCCTGAAAGAAAAAAAAAAAAAAAAAAAAACATCAATATTTTTTCTCAGCAATTAGTTAATAAAATATACAATATTTCAGTTACTATCTTTTAATTATATTTTTTTTCCAATAGGTAAGCTCTATAATTTAGAAAAAAATTCATATCTTAATGTATGTTATACAAACTATCTGGGATGACATATCAAAGGTAAATGTTTTGTATTATCAATTTGAAGTTATTTATGATTTGCTTAAAGGCTGCAAAAGACAGCAAATGTCAAGTCACTTCCTATTTATAGACATTTATATTATAATTATTAGCAAGTAAACAAAGGGAAACTATTCAGTGATTAAATAAGCTCAAACTATATTTAAATGACAGGGTGATAAAATGCCATTACTGATTAAATGATGCATCTATTTTCCAGGTTACCTTTACTTGTACACCTGCTAATCCCTTATCAGCAGTAGCATTAAATTATTTTTTTAATGGAAGGTGTTTACAACTTAGAAAAATTGTTTTTTCTATTGAAGTCTAGAAATATTGATAATGAAAGAGAAAAATAATGACAAGATAAATGAATTTTGTATGAAATAATACCACCAAATGCTTTTATTTTGGGAAGTAATTTTATTTCTATTTAAAAACGTTATAAAAATATATATAAATTTTCTTTGACAATAAAATTATTTCACAACTATTATTTAGGCAGCAATTAATAATTTTTCCCTTTCAATGTTAATATGATTTACTTTTCATTGTAACAAACATACCAAAATCAGATTATATTATTAGGGTGAGAGCAAATGTTGACCCAACATTATTATTACAATGGAAATTGCTTCATTCCTTGAATTGAAACATTTTTTTTAACAGAAGTGTGCTACCAAAAATCTATGCTGTTACATTTTTGTTGTTATGGAAGAAAAATAAATCACAAACAGAAATTGGATCACTCTAATATAGATAGGGAAATAATAAAAATTTGATGAAGCAATATTTGCTGTACAGCCATGTATGAAATATAAAATCAGTTATAAATATCATGATTAAGAATATTAAAAGAAATGAATTCAGTAAACAGAGACAATGTGCCAAATACACAAAATGTTCTAAACTTTCCTTGTGTGTGTGTGTGTGTGTGTGTGTGTGTGTGTGTGTGTGTGTGTGTGTATATATATATATATATATATATATATATATATATATATATATATATAAATTTAAAAAATTTAAGAAAGTATATCTGTAAAAGGACAATATAAATAGAGACAAAAGGAAAACATATTTTAGACAATACATTTCATCCTCTGAGGGACTTTACCAAGGCAAATTCAATGTTTTAAAATGGCTATAAAAACAATGTTTTAGGATACTCAAATTGTAAAAAAAATTTTTTTTTTTTAAATTACATGAGTATTTTAAAGCATTAATAATAAAATATAAATTAAATTACTTCCCTTACATCCATATTCTTAACAGTTAATTTTTAAATTGATTATAACAGAGCACATTTCATGCACATTTACAAAAAAATTCATAACTATCAATTACATTAATTTTTTTGTCTTAGCAATTCACCCCTGAAGATGATCTTGGATGAGATTGAAAGTATTTTGTAAAATAAAAGAAATTACCAAAACTACAGCGCCTTCCTTAATTAGTTTAATAACAACACTAAGAAATTGATCTGTAAATTTGAGAGGATTAAAATAAAACAATGTCTAGATTATCCAACCAAAAAAAAAAAAAATTGGAAAAAAGTTTTTGTTTTTTGAAACATCCATTAGGTTTTCATTGGACTGGGTTTTGTTGATGTCATGTCAACATATGCACATAAAACGAGAGACACTGGTAGTTTCAAATTTTTGAAAGAATATATTTTTTCTTTCTGAAAGAATATTTTTCAATCTAGCCAAATTCATCTGTGACAACAGAAAATCTACCAGGAATGATAATATACTGAAAGAGCCTCAACACAAATTTACTATGGCTGAACTAGCGATAAAGGCACCTTCCAGACATTTTCTTTTAATCAAAATAGCATTCCCTATGTCAAAATTGTGGACAGTTTCATTACATTGAACAACTAATGCATTTTGTGTGTTGTTTTTTTAAAATGTCCCTTTTGTGTTCAATATATTCTCTTGTTTAAACTTCTTGAGGTTTCCCCAATGTACTCATTCTGGCAATTCCTGCACTTGATAGAGTGTATTCCTTCTTCAAGTTTTGGCTTGTTTTGTTTTTTATTGATTAAATTGTTGATTGTTTTAGCTGTACTTGTGACAAATTTTATGTTGAGTTTAGATAAATTCTTTTCAGTTTAGTTGTGACAGAGTAAGTGGATAGAATAATATATTTTTTTGATCCATTGGGTTTGTCAGGAAAGAAAGCTCTTCTATTTTGGAATATTTTATGAGTCTTTTGTTCTGCATTGAATATGAAATAGTTAAGGTATTGAAGAGTCTTGAAAATATTTTCAATATATTTCTCCTCTTCATGTAAATATTGAGGGTTGCTGTTGTCAACTTGGTGTAACATGATGTCTAAGAAAGGTAAAGTATTGTTTTTTCTATTTCATATGTAAATTCTATTGTGTTCAATTTTGTTTAGTTTATCTACAAGATCTGGTAATTTAGTATCATGGGGGATATATTAATAGAGCATCAATATATCGGAAATAAGTTTAGGTAAAATGTATTGGAAAGAACCAAATCGAGAAATTCCAAGAAAATACATGCCATCACTCCACTGAAAGGCGATTCCATTGGTAATCCAAATTTTAGTTTGTAAAAATTGTTACTGAATGTGAAATAGCATTGATTGGTGAAGAGACAACAGATTTAGCCATTGGTGGGGGGAGAGGTTTATCTTTGATTTTGTTAGATGCTTTTTTTAAGAGATTTAAAAATTTTTTAAACTGGATATTAGTGTAAAGTTTTTATATCGAGACTGGCCATGAGTTTGTCAGTCATATTTATTTCCCTTAGTTTTTCAACAAGGCTGCCTGAATTTTTTATACATGATGGACTTATTGTTCCAAGGAGAGGGGTTAATATTTTTGGTATGGCTCTAGATATTTGGGGCATAGGATGGAGCTGCCTATTTCAGAAATGATGGGGCGCATAGGGATAGCAGTTTCATGGGTCTTAAAGAGACCATAAAGTTTTGGTGTTCTAGGGTGGGATTTTAGGAGTCTATACCATGAGTTGTTTTCATTTTTAATCACATTCTTCATTTCTTTGCTGAATTTTTGTGTTTCAGTAGTTATTTTTTTAATGTCTGGAAAGTCCCTTGATTGCTAGTTCAGCCATGGTAAATTTGCTTCCAGTCTCTTTCAAGATATCACCATTCATGGTAGCTTTTCTGTTGTCACAATGTGGGATAGTCAGGGACAAAGGTGATGAAGAGAAAAAGGAAAAGAATACAAATGAATTTGGCTAGATTGAAAAAAGAAAATTTAAAAATATATATTCCTTCAAAAATTTTCAAACTACCAGCATTTCTCGTTTCAAGCATATATGTGGACATGCCAACATCAACAAAAACCAGTCCGATGAAATCCTAATGGCTAAAACTTGTCACAAAAATTTTTTTTCCAAATTGTCATTATTTCTAAATACTATTTGTTGATTTATTTATATATATTACAATGAATCATTCATTCAAAAAGTAAATTAGTAAAGTTAATGATATAAAATGACAAAATCCCTTCGCTAACTAAATTTTAAAAATGCATTAACCCACTAAGTACTTGATAAATGTTATGATCCTTGTTTTTTAAAATTAGGAAATGTTTATTAATCTAACACATTTCACTTGTAATATTCTCTGATGAAGCTTTAATAAAAATGAAACATGCTAGATTGATAAACATTTTCTATTTGTTCTTTATTCTGTTATGTAATTAAAATATGAATAAATAAATGTTCAAGGAGTTGATAAATTAATGATTAATAAGTGACATATATGAAATACAGCAACAAATGAATATAAGTCCCAATAAATAAATGAATGTATAAAAATGACACTTACAGGATTTGTAATGGCAGTGTGTAGTTCCATTTAAATTCTGACATTACTTCTTGAACAAACAGCTGCATCCTGGCTTTGTTAGTGTCAAAGCGAAATGTCTTTTTTATTGGATTACAAAATATCAGCTTCAATTCTCCAAGCCCACGATTCTGTAAACGTTCATTACAGCTGAGCACCGAATCCTGGAAAAAAAAAAAAAACAAAAAAAAACATGACAAATATAAATAAAGATAAAAATAGTGGCCTCCAAAAATTTGCTAAGAAGAATACATGATGAAAAAAATGCACAAAACTTAATAAAAAAAAATGTTAAATGTAATCTTTGTACTATTAAGAGGAAAGCTCAAAGGATTTTTCATGTAAAATTTTTTTTATCTTTTAGAACCTTGGAAATTGATAAAAAATCCTTTCTGTTGTCAATGCACTACTTAATTAAAAATGAATGAAATTTTATGCATCCATTACCACCCCATTCGTTTAATTTTTATGAAATTTCAAGAAATTCTTTTTGTGTCACTTAATATTTATATTTGTTATAAGGACAAGTCCTTGGAGAATTTAAATCAAAATTTTTTGGTCAAATAGGACCCACAGATGCATAAATGCTCTGAATTGTAAAATAAAAAATGCAATATTTTTTTTAATTATAAAAGCTTCTAACTGCTTTTATGAATAAAATCTATTATGAATACTACTGTCTTAAGGAAAAAAAAAAACAACTTCAATCAATGAATTTTTACAATTGTTTTCATTTTTTTTTAATTAAAATTTATAATCTTAAAATTATGTATTAATTTGTAGCAGTCATTAATAGTATCTTAACTATATATTTAATAATCATAAATGGAAAACTCATAATTCAACAATCTCCAGTATTTTTAAAAAAATTTGGAATTTTTTTTTTTTTTGCATGTGTATATATAAACTTGTCAATTTTTGTAAATATGAACATAATAAATTTAAAATTTATTGGTAATTTTCTAACATTTTTATAACAAGCATCTTTATAAATAAGGCCGTACCTAAAGTTCAATAAAATATTAGAATTCTTAAAATATTTTCTTAAATTATTAAAATTAGAAGGGAATTAAAAGAAAAAAGAAAAAACATTCACATATTTGTCAAGTAATTTTTCAGTTTTGTCCCACTTATTTAAATTTCCCAAACATCAGACTGTCAATGAATCACTTAACATGCCAGAAAAACACTGGCTCCATGTTAAAAAATCCTTTCATGCAATATTTTAAATTAAAAGTAACATTTGTTTCAATTCAGATTAATTAAACTTTAAAATCAGATAATTTTATCAAATAACATTTAAGAAAAGTATATTTTTGAAAGTTTTTTTTTTTTTAATAAAGAGAATTAGTTTATGCTGACAACATGGCCAAATTTACTGATTTTACTGATAAGTAGGAAAAAATTTTCAATTAATTTAAATTTGATTTGAAATACACCAAAGTATTTTGATTACAGAGAATATTGAATTTAATGTATTAGTTTGTAATTAAACTAAAATTAAAGCCCCCAAAAAGTTATTCACAATCAATGTAAAAATGAGTTAGCTCTCCTTACTTTTTTATTATGAAAGCCTCTGTAATAGTTGTCAGAAGTTTGGAGATGAAGCACTTTCATCATCTCGTATTTTTGTACATTGTAAACATGCATTGGAGTTTGATTTTTAAAAGTTGTCCCCTCCCCCCACTCTCCAGAGACAAATTGTACATATGGGCACTAGTCAGGACTTCATAGAAATGTTGTGGTTATCGTGACTATAGTATAAGAATGGTAAGAATGTGCTGTTTTGGGTAAGTATAGTTTGTTTGGGTTAGTTATTGTGGATAGATAAATACAGGACAGATAAAGACCAACCTTCCCCCTCCATCCTTCTTTTGACCTTGTGCTACATTTTCTGTAGTTTACAGAAATGAATATCACTTTCATTATCTCATAAATAACTCAGAGTATTCATAAAATAGTTTTACTTCCGTTGTTTTATGACATTTCAGTCAATATATTTTTCAGCCTTTACCAGGTAAAGGCGGCATTTGCTACCCCATAAGTCTTGCTCAGTACTTTTATTTTTATCTATTCAACTCACAGATGCATGAATGAAGCTTTGCATAAAATCTTTCACATTAAAAATATACATACTGACATTTTATACATGTGGTATATATGCCTATAAAATTTAATACTTAGAAGATATTGACCAAAATAAAATAAAAACAACAAGGATGAGAATTTTAGTTTTAAAAAAAATCTGGAATGTATTAATAAACTGTAAAAAAAAAAAAAAAAAAAAAAAAAAAAGATAAAAACATTGTTTTTATTTTGAAATCAGATGTTTTATGTTGGACTGCTTTTTGCTTCAAGTTATTTAATTCATTGGGTTCAATAACGGACATTTTGCTATGCAGTTAGCAGCAATAACCACAAGTTGCACGTCTCTAGTAAAAACTTTATTCCAACTCTGATACTATGGTCATCTTATATCAATTCTATTTTATATAACATCAGAGATGCTATACTCAAAATATACATTCATAACTTTTTATAGTGTGTGTGTGAAACCCAGCGAGGTTTTAAACCAGACTTAGCTAAGATTAATAAATAATTAAATTTTTGATTATATGACCAAAATGCAAACAATCTGCACAGAATTGTTTTAAAATTGAGAGTTCAACAAAAAAGTTATTTTTACAATGAAGACTGTTTTGACAATGAGTGCTACCTCATGGTAGAATTCAGGGAATTTAGTTGGATATTTAAAAACAAAAATAAAACAAAACTAAGTAATAAAAATTCAAAAATAATGATAAACAGCCTGTAATAAAAGAATATAACTAAAGATGCATTAGATCAAAGACTTCTAAAATACACTCTTTATGCTCCACAGACATTGGCATTGGTTTGCTTTTATCCATAGAATCATGAGTTTGATTATTGGCTGATTGCTTGTACATAATTCTTATGACCCAATGAAAAAAACAGGCAACATTTTGAAGAAGTTAGGGCATCTCTTTAAGGATCAGTAGGCAAAAATCAGCATATAAAAGAAAAGAAAAAAAAAAACAAAAAAAACACAAAAACAGAGAAATCTAGAGAATACCCAAACTAAAAAGTAAAAATAAAAAAAATGGTAAAAAAATTGGATTTATAGAAATTCTAAATTCTCAAATTTCATTATTTTTTCACAAATATTTCTACAATTACCGACAGAAAAGGCTATTATTTCTTATATATATATATTTATATATATATATATATATATATATATATATATATATATTAAATAGAAATTTACACCTATAAAAATTCAGTAAGAAAATTAATAAAAATAAAGTTAAACTAGAAAGAAAGTGTGGCAATATGAAGATTACAGAGACAATCTGGTGTCATTTGATTAACAGTTATCGAGTCTCATCCTGTTTGCAAAGTGCAATTGTTGTACAATAAAAAAACAAGCAGCATAATAATAATAATACTCACTCGGGATGGTTGTTCACTCAGCAAGGTTTCATCATGAAGCCAAGCAACAATCTGAATCTGCCCAGCAGGAGTAGAGTCTGGAGATCTAGAATATCAAGTGAGAAATTATCATTTTATCATATATACAATGCACGTACACATTTATATACATAATAAAATTGTTCAATTAGGTAAAAGAGACTACCTCACCTATTTCTCAAATTTGAACAGTTCTGCATTTATTTAGAAAGATACTCATTCTACTTCTGTATTTGCTTAGCAAGCCTAGACTGGATTAATGTATGACAATGTCTTGACTAATATATATATATATATATATATATATATATATATCCAAATGAGAGAAAGAACAAATGGAATAAAATTCCACAATTTGAGGCATTTACTTTTTAAAAAAGTGCTAAATACAAAGTAGACCAAAATAAAGGGTGTTCCACTAAGTTGGACAGATTTTAAATGTGAATTAAGTTCAAGCATCTAATGATGTTTTTCTTTAATTGGTTAATTGAGACATACACACAAAAGTATTTTTAATTTCGGACCTCATGCCCCCACTTTTAACTTTAGGAAAAGCGGTAACAATTTGTTTTTAAATTTCTCTGAGCAATCATTTTATAACCAGTTACCCACCATTGCCTGAGGAAGTACAATCATAGTATTGAAACATAACAGCTTTTGTATTTTTGTAGTGATTTAAAAATGTTTTTATTGTAATCTCTTATAATTAAAAAGAGATTATATATATATATATATATATATATATATATATAGACACACTGAAAAATTACAGACAGCATCACACTGGATGTTTTTCCCTCTATGTTTCAATACTATGATTGATGGAAATCAAATCAGCCAAATGATGTATATGCGACTTAATAGGTAAAAAAAAAAAAAAAAAAATAAAGCAATGGGATATGAACAGGATGTAACACTGTGGAATAATTGGTAGGGCCAAAAAGAAGGGCACAATTTCTGAGATAGCAAACTGCTCTAAGTTTTTCTCTAGCAAAGACATATTTAGAAATATGTGAATTCTAGACATATCAGTGGCATGTGAAAACCACAGGTGATAGAAGAGGATGACCACTGGCAAGGATGGTAACCACCCAATAATTGGAAACACTGCATGAAATCACAACCCAATTCAACATTGGGTAAGCTGTCTTTTAAAAAGGAGCACAATTTTCTTGGTTTTAAACCCATACAAAAATAGTTAAATAAAATGGGGAAAATATATTTTATGTTTTTCTTTCTTTTTACACATTTTTACACTAGTTTCATTACAAATACCACCTGTCATATTATCTCGTAATATCTCACGTCATAAAACATAATAAAATCTAAATAAAAAATATGGTGACCCCTCTTTTGCTTTTATTCAAAGGCCATGGAAACAAAGATACTATAAACAACAGAATTTTGTTTTTGTTTTTTAACCATAGAGTATGCCACTAGTACAATGCTTTATGTGGGAATTAAAGAGATAAATGCAGAGAAACGTCAGAGGTGAAACAAAAAGAATTTTAGGGAAAACATGTTCCGCAAAACAGAACCTAAAAATTGTCAACAATGTCAAAAGGAAAGTTAGATAATTTAGACATCAGTAGCTGTCATGCAGCCTGTACCTTAAATGAAATGTTTACAAATTCTTCCATGTATCATGAAACTAACCTAGGAGGAATACAATGCACCTGAAGATTGCCCAGCATGAAACTGACAGTTGAGGTTTCATTTTATACCTTTGTTTTTACTGCTCTATTAGCTCAATCTTTTGTATGCTGAGCACTGTTTTTCATGCTGAGACCATGGAACAACAAATGTAGAAAGTCAAATCAACATTTACATTCTGGCCTAGTCTTGTTTTTACTTTTATATTAATGCTCTTGGAAAAGGCAGGGATCCATCTCTTCTCTCCCACACTGGGCTCTCAAGACTTGGATGACTAGGAGGAGGAAAACTTAGAATTTAAAATCATGGAGAAGGCAACAGGAAAACCACTCAATTATCTCAAAAAGTCATTGCAATTCACAGGTAATAAAAAAGGTACATGAGTAGAGGTACATGATCACCTATCTTGAAGAGAAATGAATGATATTAAGTGAAAACAAATAATATGCTAAAAAGTTTGTTACTATCAAATACGTTATTATGATTAGTGTGTGTGTGTGTGTGTGTATTTAAGATGTAAACTGAGTGCCACTCAATAAAGATTGATCCTGATAATCCATCATCATAAGAGGGAAACTAAAGTTATGTTGGTTTTATTATTTCACATCTTACGTTTTATGGGTTCTACCTTCTACTGAGCACTTTCATAGTTGAAGTTTACCAACTACAACTGTTTTATAAAGATAGATAGAAAAAGCTAATTAAGAGACAAAGGGAACGTACCAAAAATAAATCCTAACAATACAAAGCATGGAAAAAAAAAAAATATACATACATCTGCCTTAACAAAATCAACAATCTAGAAAGACTAGATCTATAACAGTTACTCTAAGTTTTATGCAAACTGTTGATTGGATTGTAGTTGGTGTGACACTGAGTAATGGTATATAGTCTCTAGATGTTGGTTGGTTGTTTATATATATATATATATATATATATATATACACACACACACAAAGAAAAATAACATACATACGTCAAAGTCAGCTGTAGCTTTTTATCAGGTCGAGACAACAGGTTTTTCATGTCAAACAGTGCATAGCCAAGCTGAGACATCTGGAATTAATATAAACATGATATGGTCAGTTAAAGCTTTTTATGGAATCTTTCACTGTAAATTAGTAAGGCGTTCTCAAGAGAAAATATCTTATCACCACTGATGATTTGTTAGATCATTTCATTTTAATTAATTTAAAAAAAAAAAAAAAAAAAAAAAATTTTCTAGTTTAATAAATTCATATGCAAAAACAATCTATCCAGTTCATTGATTTTAAAATTAGAAATAACTGTCAGGTTTTATCTAATATGATTAGAAAAGGCTCATTTCAGTAACCAATGAGATATTGAACAATATAAAAAGGCAGCAGATAAAACCAATTGTTTTGTTTGTTAGTGGGGCTGAATATTTTGCTAAGGAATGCATATTTATGAAACCTTTAATGGAACCTATTTTGGTGGAAAATTAATTAAAAAATATTGGAAGTATATTGATATGATGTTGCTTGTAGAGGCAGCGTCAGTCTCAGAAGAGGCGCTTTACATAACAAAGAAATGTTGATTTGTGCTATATCACTTCAATGTCTTTGTTATAGGCATTAAAGAGAAGTCAAATTCATTAAATTATAATAGAAAATGGTGAAAACTGAAAATGCACATAGACTATTGTCTGGACTATTATGGGTAAGAAAAGTCAAAATTTGAAATGATTCCGTCAAAACGGTTGTTTTCCTTATTCTACAATTGTTTTAAATAACATGATGGAGCAATAGATTATCAACATTATCAGATTCCCATTTGCACATATCATGGCATACAATTCTATACTTTATTGGTATTTTCATTATTATGCATTTTTACATATCACTATATTATCAATATTTAAAATAATTCATAATTGTTAGCATCAAATATCAAGTGATCTTAAATATATCCCACACAAAATTTAGCCAAGACACATGTGGCTGTTTGGAGAAAACTACATACAGATTTTAATCAAAGAACAGAATGGTCATTTTCTTTACAGAGGCTATCTTTCATCAAAAAAGTTTCAAAGCTCAACAAATAATCATTTTCTAAAATTTATTTATAAAAGACAGGATGTGTGTGTGTGTGTGTGTGTGTGTGTGTAACAAATGCACGGCCACAATTTTCACTGGATTTGCACCAAAATTTACATGCACATGCTCCAGGTTAGTGGAAAGGACAAGACAAACTTTGCATTTCCCAACTCCCATCAATAGTGGAAATAATCGATTTTTTCATGCTTCTACCGTAGTTTTCATGTAGTTTACAGCCATTTTCTACTGGCCAGAGTGAAAGCCTATAGCTGGCTGCCACGAATAGGCAGGAAGATTCTATTGGCCAGCGTGAGAGCCAACAGCTGACTGACACGAATGTTAACTAGCATGCAAAAAAAAAAAAAAAAAAAAAAAAAAATCGATAGCTGCATTCATCACAAGTGGGGAAAAATTTAAGTCTGCATGGCACTTTACTCCAATTGGCTCATTCACTTGCTTAAACTCAATGTTGATTCTAATTCCGCAGAATTGGGTTGGGTGTGAAAAAGTATTTGTTAACATTTTTTCATTTGGCTTTTTCAGTTACGAGTCCATTTTTTTTAAAGCTGATCGTTTTGTATTCATTTTGTTTAGTTCTTTTTTCATAACTGATTTAATGTTTAGTATAGAGCTTAGAAAAAATTTGTGTGAGATAGGCAAGAAGTAAGGCATATAGCAACATCAGTACAGGCAAAGGGCACTCCTTTAAAGGCAAGGAAAGGCAAAAATATTTTAAGTCAAGTGATAGCGATTGCTGTACGAGTCGTACGATTTTTGAATCAAGCATGGGCAACACTGGGCCATGCTGCTAGCTTATTTATATGAGACAAGCCAGGCTGATCTTTAATCTTTTTCAGGCCATCTTGAAATACTTCTCAGGTATCAATAGTAGTATCTAAATCCCTAATGCAACTATATTACTGCAGTAATAGAAACAGTAACAATAACAACCAGATCTTCACAAATTCATTATAGAATCTAAATAATAGCTGGTTATTCAATATATGAAGAGTTTCATCAAAAAAATGTGACATTTTAACAAATTCAAAAAGATAACATGTAAAGCACAGATGTCTTTCTGTAATAGACAATATGGATAAGCATAATAGTAAAAGATATTTACAACTTACAGTATTGGTCATCCTCTCATTCACATGATATACTGTGAACTTTACTTGAGTAGACAGTTTAATGTTGGTCCCAAAAC